AGAACATGATATTTCTAAGCGTTACCAAGAATAGGTACTGGATTTGAGGATTGTACTGGGTGGGGGAGGGGGCGGAATCACTGTTGAGTTCCTTCAGAAAACTCAGCTGCTATGCTCTAGAGCTCAGGAATTGCCGCTCTTCACTTCTTGAGGGGCGATGGCAGTAATCACCCCGGAGGAAGGGATGGGAACAGACCCGTGAAAGCACAGTGTTCGAGGAAGCAGGATCTCCCTTACCAGAGGTTAGAGGTCATCTTCTGGGCTCCTTGCCTGATTCCAGTCTGAGTGCGAAGGGCTACAAGGTGCAGCAAGCCAAGCACAGGAAGACAGAGCCACCTATTCTCGTCTGGGAGAGAACGAGGAAAGAAAAACTGATGAATTTCAACGTAATTCAGGCCAGCATAGAGCTAAAGTCTGTGCTATAGAAGTTACCTAGCAGAGCTAGCCTGTGCTAAGGGGATAATAGCAGAGCTAACCTATGCTATGAGGATAACTAGCAGAGTTAGCCTATGCTCTGGGGGTAACCAAGCAGAGCTAACCTATGCTAAGGGGATAATACCAGAGCTAACCTATGCTATGGGAGTTTTCTAGCAGAGCCATGGGGGCAACCTAGTAGAGACAACCTGGAGGATTCGGGGAGCGCGCATAGGCACCTTCAAAGGCGACTCCTCCCTTCTTCCCGAGCACCATGAGAGGAGACTCAGAATGCTCCTACCACTGCCCCGTAGGCACACGGGACACACGGGAAACTTGTTCAAACAAGGGCCCCTGGCCGGTCACTACAGGCCAACGGCCATGATGCATCTTAACTTTACACCAAGCCTGAGCACAGTCCTGTATCATCAGCCTGAGTCGAGTCACCGTAACTCTCTAGTCACCTACATGATTTGAGGGGAGATTAGAGTGTTTTCAATCCTCAGTGAGCTGGGAATAAGTGGATGCCTGTAATTTCAACACTCAGGAGAATCTAAGAAGCAAAAGTATTCCAGAGCCTTTCTCCCTTGGTACAGACACACACAGCTTCCTGCTGAGCATGTTGAGAACAGAGAAAGTGTGTTTAAGTCTAAGCATTTGTCTCCCAAGGGACTTCAAATACAAAGTCCGCTAGAGCACGCAGGAGCTGCAAGAACATACAATTACCTCTAACATATATGTAGGCATCCCCACCGGAGACTGCAGGGCGGACTGATAGTAAATACACACAGGAAGCAAATAAGGCCCCCTCCCCCACCTTTACGAAGTACTGACTCAGTAAAAACTAGTGTTAAAGGAATGTAAGACTTCTAGAAACCCAAAAGGCAGACGTGTCTGCAGGAACACTGCCTTTCATTGGGAGTAGAGTTGCTGTTGTTGCGGGTAGCTAAGAAGCCCACCAAGTGAATGGAATGCGGCTTGATACTCCATCCCCAAACTGACAAGTATAACTTCAGTCGTTATGACAACATTCCAACCGTAAGCATCCTGTATTTGAATCGCATCCTAAAACTCCTTGTCAGTTCTTTACCATGCAGCAAGACAGCAAAATGACTGCCTGCAACTGAGCCTCTCTATTATAAAATCAAAGTTCATGTGATCTTAATGTTCCTTTATCGATGGTTTAGTAGGTACAGGTACTTCTTGCTGAGCCTGCTGATCTGAGTTCAGTCTGGGGAAAAAAAAAAAAAAACATGGTAGAGAGACGTGACCCACTCAGGTTTCATCCATGCACGCGGCATACACCAAATACACATAACGTTTTTTAAAAGAACAGTCTAAAAGTTACCTTAGGAACCTGAGCAAGTGAGACAGCTCAGCTTGTAAAGTGCTTGGCACATAAACCTGATGGCCTGGGTTTGATCCCAGGAACCCACGTCTATAATCCCAGCACCTCCACTGTGAGACACAGCATGCTCATACCCTCCTTCTATTTCTCCCCTGCCTCTCTCTCTCTCTCTCTCTCTCTCTCTCTCTCTCTCTCTCTCTCTCTCACACACACACACACACACACACACACACACACAGTACAAAAAGTCTTAAAAATTCAGAAAAAAACTTTTCCTTATATAATCCTTTGTCTAAAAAAAATTAGCTGTCATTCAAAAGAAAAAAAAACCACTAAAGTAGGCTATTGAGAAAATAAATTTAGATTAAAAGGCAGGGGGAATACAAAAGTTAAATGTCATTAACTTTTGAATCTTCTAGCATCATTGGCTTCTTAAATATTGATCCCTTCAGCCCATGGTGTGCACAGTGGAGGATGAATTCTGAGGATTCTCCCCAACTGCTCTCCTAAGGCTTGTGAAAAGACCGACCTCAACAGCACAGGGCCGTTCTGCCATGCATGGTTTCTTTAGTTCCTTGAAGTCTTAGTCTCTCGCTTTCAGACACATGGGCAGTTCCAGGGCTTCAGACTAACTAAGCAGCAAAGACAACGTCACAGAAGCAGCGTTTGGCACCGTGCGGTGAGTGAAGAACACAGCTAGGGAACTATTGTCCTGGGGTGGGATGCTGGGATGCTGGGCATCCAGGAGACTGTGGTGAGATTCCCTGCAGCAGTGGGGGGATGGCGACACACTCCACACTGTGTACGTGTGGAAGAGAGGAACGGTCTGCCACACATACTGTGAGATGTCAATGCACATTTAAAACATTAAGAAAAGTTTCAATCTGCCGTTTTCATAAAGGAAACTCTCAACTCCTTGTGGCTGCTTTTCACTTTAACTGAACGTTTGCTTAGAAACTACCTACTAATTTGAAAATAAGTCTACTTCTTCCTTTTTATCCCTAAACCAGGAGACAACCAGCCAGCCAGTCAGCCAAATGCATACATGCACACACACACACACACACACACACACACACACACACACAGAGGCATATGCACATGAAGCAGTAGGAAATAAAATCAAGTTTTAACGGCCTCATTTGCTCTAAGTTGATTTAAAGAACATGTAGCAGAATAAACAGATCACTGTCTTCAAGTCTTTCTGAAGTGACAAGTGATGAAATACAAAACAAAAGCCACACTCGGACCAAAGCCGGGTAACTCCATTCTCTGAACAGGCGTGTCTCTGGGGGCGTGTCTCTCTTACATTAACTGACAGGAGAAGGCAGAACTCACAGTGGGTGGCACCATTCCCTAGACTGGGGTCCTGGGCTGTCTAAAAGAGGTAACTCCTAGACGCGTGCATGCATTCCCTTTTCTTGACTGCGGTCGCCAGGACTATCTTTAGTTCCTGCCACTTTGGTCTCCCTGTTGGTTTGGACTATGACCAGGAACTGCAGGGACTCCATAAGCTGCTTTTTGTCAGGATGTTTTCTGGTTTTACCATAACAACAGAAAGACACTGGGGCACTTAGCATTTACTGAAATAGTTTGGGATGATAGATGTTTATTTATTAGCCCTAGTAATAATACAAGTTCTCTATAGGTGACAGTCTTTACACAGAAACAATTTCTGAAATATACTTGATTTATTCTCCTATTTATGCATTTGCCACCTCACTGATGGTTGGGAATTTAGTTAGTTAGTGAGTTAGTTTTTTGAGACAGAGTCTCTTTAAATATCTCTGGACGTCCCGAAACTCACAATGTAGGCCAGGCTGGCCTTGAACTCACAGATGCACCTTCACAGCTTCCAAAGTTGCTGGAGTTAACGGCATGGGGCACCACACCCAGCTTGATGGATTGTTTTAAACCGAGTGCTTTATAAATCTCAAGCACAGGGTAACATCCATAATTAATTAAAGGCAAGAGCAGGGAAGGCCTTAAGTATCCCAGAGGGGAGTGTGAGGCTAAGAAACTGGGCCCTGTGAAGTCAAGTCAGCTTGAAAGCACTGCCAGGTTTCCTGGGTGATGGCTGAGCAGAGGTCTAGCTGGCCGTCAACTCATTGCCGAAGGTGGGTGACGGCGGGCGATTGCAACAGAGGCCTCTAGAAAACATTTGCTAAGCTCACCTTTGACCCGGCCACACGGTCCCCGACCCCAAGTTTGCACACCTACACAAGGGGTTGCAAAACTGTGCTAGGCCTCTCCTTTGGGGAGATCCAGCACACACAGCAGTCGCTGGCTGTGGGTGAAGGACACAGGGTACTCATTAAACTCTTCCTGTAACTGCTCTTCTGTCTGAGCCTTTCAAAATAAAGTGTTAAGACAAGAACTAAATACAATCAGAACAACAAACAGTAGCACTCTGCCCTTCGATCACATTTGCCTGAGAAGAGACATGGGGGGGGGGATGTGATAGTTTTAGGTCTGTGGATAACCAATGGGTAAGCTTCAAAGAAATTTAAAGTCCAACTGAGAGGTCCAAAGTGAACCTGATAGGTAAGATGATTTTCACCTGGTTTTAGCCTTTGGCGACATGTTAAGGTCACCTATGAAGTCATAACAGCTTCAGGGATGACACTGTGCTCAACAGTGCTCCGTGGTCACCACTGTCCTCAGACTAGCACTAGGTCAGAAGGACGGAAGGAGCCTCTAACGAACAGGAGCATACGGGTAATCCCGAAATCCAGCTAGCGACCAGAAGGTCTCAGGCTGTTAATTGAAAAGCAAAGGATCGTTCTAGTAAATACAGGTTAGCACTGGGAAATCTCTGTTTTTAAGGCCTGCAGATTGAGCTGGGCCTGGTGCCCCAGGCGTTTAACCTCAACACTACTTTCTAGAGAGATTTCCACATGCCAGATTGCTCAAGAGGCACCTATGTCTGCTGTTTGACCACTGAAAATGGACTCGATGGTCTCTGCTTCCGTGGATCGACTGTGGCTTTATTTTAGGTTCCAGGGACTCATTCCGCCCCCCTGTGTTTGCTTAAGGGAGAGAGCAAAGGTCTGAGGGGCATGCTTTCCACCTGCTTAACTCACTGAATTTGTGTAATTCCAAATTCTACTTCCAAGTATTCTGCATTCCGAATGTGTGTGTGTGTGTGTGTGTGTGTGTGCACGCACACCTTTGTTAGAAAAAAAAACCCAGCCTACATATAAAAGAGACAGATCCAAGGCCTTGTAATTATTGGGGTTTATTCATTCAAGATTTACAAAATTACAATCTGCCCAGGCTGGAGTCAAAGCTGAAGAAAAGTTTCTCAGGGAAGCAAAAGCAACAGCCCAATGTCTGGCATTCATTGCTAAAATGTGAGCCAGTTCCGAAGACTTTCAGAAAGTCCTGAGGGGCAACAGATGGTGGCGGGGGAGCGGGGGGAACAGGGAGAGGGAGGGAATTTCAAAATCAACAGTAGTGTTTCAGATAGCGTTGGGGGAAGCACACTGCTGGGCCAGAGTGATGTTCACAGGAGTGCAGGACGTTCCTAAAGACTTTAACTTCGGGTGTTTGGACATTTTCTTTTGTTCAGGAGTGGGGTTGTTGGATCGCCAAATGAACTCATCTTTTGAGACATTCACGTTTTGTACAGTGGTCTCTTTATTTTATACTCTCATTAACAACGGGATGATAGGAGGCATGGGACGGGAGTGGAGAAGGGGGAAATTGTGATGTGTATGAAGTTACGGGAATGAGTAAGTTCTAGAGCTCCCCTGTGGCCTGACGTGCAGCACTGTGCACTTTAAAAATGATCTCCTGTCAAGCGTTGGTACCTTAAGACAATGAAGCAAAGCAGAAAGATACTAGGGAAGTTCAGGAGGTTATGGATTGCAATACCATGTGGGCAAAGGGCACATGTGTGCAGTAAAGAGATTTGATTTTGTGTGAGCATGTGCAAGCATATGCAGGCAGGTTTCCTGGTTTGTTGTTTTGTATTTGTATATGAGACGCAGGCGTGCAATGAAAGGGGCAAGAGATGGTAATGGGAGATGTTAATCATCAGCCTTGCCTCTAAGAGTGGGACTCGGGTGCAAGGCATTCAGACATTGGTAGCAAAGAGCTAACTTGAAGCAGGTAGGTAACTTGGGCAGAATTGTCTGTCTCTGGGGCAACATAGAAGATAAGTACGAGGATGGCAGGCGTGGAATAGACTGTGATTTTGTAGAATCTATGGCCACAAGGCCAGGCAAAAATAAAGCAACGGGAAAAGAGAGAGCACTTCTGAGCAGCAAATTAATCTTTGTTTACGTAAGTGAAAACTGAGAAGATGGGACTGGGGGCACTATGTCTGTACAACAGGCAGCAAGGACAATGGCGGGGAAGGAGCGCTGAGCTGGGGTCCGTTGAAGGAGTGTTGCGATGGATGCCAATGGGGAGAGGGATAAAGGATAGTAAAATCTACTTCCACCTTGGTTCCAGTGTAACTTTCTACAGAAAGAACAATCTGAGGATGATGAGAAACCTGGGCCTCCTCGTCCACCATTTCCCTAAGAGACGCGGTGAGACTTTTTCTAACTGCTTGCTTGGACTCTGCTGGTTTAAGGTCCTCGTGAGAGGCAGAACGGTCCTTTCCCCATGGACTCCTCCCCCATGGACTCTCCAGGTGTTCGATGTCAGCTCAGCAGACATTTGAGACTGTGTACACACCTTCCTGCCTACAAATTCAGATCCTGACAGCATGGACCCCCCCCCCAGATAAGAAAACAATAATTTATGATAACAGGGGCCAGTTTATGTAAAAAACCTGTTAGAAAGATCATCTTTTGCAAGATGCCTTACATGAATAAATGGGATTTTTGAAACCAGACTTATAAACATTGGCTTTCATTTGTGTAATGCTTTTCTCCAACAGGGACGGACGGTGCCTCGCCTGAAAAGCTCTGTGGTCAGCTGGAGTCAACAGACTCTGTTTATTTATTTTATTTATTTATTTTTTTTTTTGAGCCAGGGTTTCTCTGTAGCTTTTTGGTTCCTGTCCTGGAACTAGCTCTTGTAGACCAGGCTGGCCTCGAACTCACAGAGATCCGCCCGCCTCTGCCTCCCGAGTGCTGGGATTAAAGGCGTGCACCACCACTGTTTATTATGCCCTTCTCGTTAGTTCTCTGCATGGAAGGTAAACGCAGGCTAGAGAGGAAGACGATCTGACTCCAGCTCCTACATCAAGAGGCTCACAGCCACTGTAACCCCAGTTCTGGGAGAATCTGACCCCTCTGGCTTCTGCAGGCCCCTTCACTTGTGGTGCACCTATCCACACAAGCCACACAATTGAGAATAATACAAACGTAAAATAAAAAGAACACAAAAGAAATATCCACGTGCTGTTTTCAATGTCTTTATCCTTTGCCTTTCCGAAAAAGACACAACCAACGATTGTTCTGAGTTTTAGTGGGTATAATGTAACAAAGAGGATTGCAACAACATACAGTAAAAAATGTCACACATAGAAGAATAAAAGTCTACACTTAGGGGACTACTACTGTGGGAAGAAGGGCCTGATCTTCATAGACATCTTTCTCATTGAGTACCAGGATCCCTTCCAGTTCATCCACACCACACCATCATCTGTGCCATGCTTGGCCATGTCCCAGCTGTAAAGACCACCCCAGTAGTATCTGCCATTTGGATTGGCGGAGTGGCATCTGTTATACCACCATCCACCACCATCTTCTCTTGAGCACTGTTTCCGAGGATCTGAAGTTAACCTGAAAGGAAAGGAGTTTGAGGGATGATGCAGACAAGGCCCACTGTCCAGTCAGTTCTTCGGAGAGAACCCACGGGAGAGGACCGTGCTCAGTTACGCATGGTACTCTTGCCCTTGAGTCCTGAATGCAAAGCTCAAAAACAGCAAAGGTCTTCTCTGCCCCCTGACGAGAAAAGAGAAACAGCTGGGCCTATCTGGTCTAACCCTGAAGAGATGGGATTCTTTTATTCTGAAAGAACTTATCTGACACTGTAGTATGAGAGACCCTGAGATATGAAATGGTCGTTTCAGGAGACCCGTTAGTGAATAAGAACACAGACGTTTATGTAGACACACAAAGCTCAAGGAGTTAACACTCTAATTGCTGTTCTGTGTCTGAGTAGTTACCTGGCTTTGGGTAAACTTGTTTCTCTAAATTTCACCTGAAGGATGAAACTGATGACGTCTGCCTTACAGGTGGGATGCTTTTCACCAATACGTCTGGAGTTCCAGACAGGGGCTGCCTGATACACTTCAGGTATTCAAGCATGGGCAGTTGTTTATAACGTTAGGTACACTAATGGTGCCGAGACTTTTTAAAAAAGGAGCCAAGATGGCAGCGCTTACCAGCCGTCGTTGTCCCTGTCGTACGTGCTGAAGAACATGCCGTTGTGGATGGTCATGGTTCTGTTTATCCCCACCAGCTGAGAGGCTCCCTCCATGAGGGCATTGCCAGCCGTTCCTTTGTATTTGTTCACTGAGACTTGGTACTTGTTAGCCTCGTTCTGCACTGTGAACCCTCCATAATGGGCCTTCACTTTGTCACCTTTCCAGTCCTCCATTTCGATCAGAAGTTCTGTGGGTCCCATCCTGGTAAGCTGGCTAATCTTATCGTTCCCAAGCCAATATTCACCTAGAGAAAATGAATTCAAAATATCAAGGGGGAAAAAAGGGGCTCTGGCAACTACGCGCCGCTCTTCTACCCTGGCAACCACGCACCACCCTTCCCACCCTGGCAACCACGCACCCCCTGGCAACCACGCACCACCCTTCCACCCCAGCAACCACGCACCGCCCTTCCACCCTGGCAAACACGCTCCTCTTCCACCATATCTTTAGCTCCCACATTTATTTAATTTTTTAACTTTTATTTATTGTGTGTGTGTGTGTGTGTGCATGTGTAGAAATCTAAAAACAGACCCTTATCCTTGATGTTTTTAATGGGGAAAAAAAAACCTCATTAAACTTGACGAATTTCATTTCGCGCCCCAAGTCTTTACCTGGCAGGCCACAGTACTTCTTCCCATCTTCGTTGGTTGCAATATTTCCAAATCCTTGTTTGTATGGGTCCCATTGCCGGCCAAAGTCGACACTGCCATCCTGACGGTTCTGTATGACTGTCCACCCTTTAGAAATAAAATTAGCCTAAGGTTACCAGTAGTAACATCACTCTGAGAGGAGAGTCTGAACCCGTCGCCCATTTGTTTGATTTTTTTTACTTGCTTATGTTCGGTTCTGCGTGTAGATATTATAAAGAGATAAGTATGAGGGGAGACTTCTTAAGGTATTTGTGAATGCCAGGCCCCACAGGCCATCTTAATGCAGGCGTCAAGGATCTTTTAAAGCCTTTCAAATACCAGATTGGATTTCCAATCAAGCGGGTCCTTGCCAGCTGTGTAGGAGCAGAGCCGTGTTCTCACAGAACGCTGACTGATGGGCTCACCTCCGTTTTCTGTCTTCATGTCACAGTAGACTCTGTACGGTTTGATGGAGGTATCCGGCTGGATCAGATACATTTCGGATGTCTCCCCTCCTTTCCTGATGATCTCCTCACACTCTGCAAGAAAGCATCACCGGAAACACAGTCTTCAGCCACTCATTCTGACTACACTGGATACAAAGGATCGCTTTCTCACAAGCATTTGGGAATAATGTCCTATGGGTTGGGCCTTCTTTTCACTGACAATCAACTTAAAGTGTGAAGAATTCTGTCAAGTGAATTATAAAGCTCCCTTTATCTCCCATCCCTGCAAACAGGGCACACGGTACTAGGAAACACCTCCATCTTCCCACGGCCCACCATCTGTGTATGTCCCGTGCATGCTACGCAGCAGAGCTCGGTGGAGTCATCCGCCAAGACAGCGCACAACCAGCCCAGGGCACAGCCGCAGTATGCAGAAGATCATTCTGTTCTGCTGGGGGAGAGCTACGGTGTTCCCTTTCCAGTCCCTGTGTTTGGAGAGCGCTACATCTCCTGGAGCTCTAAGGAGTTTGTGTGCGGACTCGTTACCTTTGCCGGACACCACGGGGATGTTGCAGCTGACCGTGCACGGGGTGCGGCAGTAGTCCATCTGCGCCGAGATGTCAGATTCGAGCTTTTGTATCTTGCTCCTCAGAGTCTCCAGGATTGAGCGGAGCACACGAAGGTTAAGGGGGATATTATTGTTCACTGTCTCATCAATATATATCCTCTGGTCTTCCAGAATAGAGGAATACTCATTTATGACATTTTCATTATCTGGAGAAAGCAAAATGATGGAGGGATGGTTGGCGTTTTTTTGCCTATGAAAGTATATCTAGCTACATAAATATGATTTTGATTTTCTGAGAATAAATAGACTGAGGTATCATCAAGCAATCAGGACTGTTGAACTTAACATTATTTAATAACGAACATTAACATTATTTGTCTCATGGTACATATAAATTGGCATGCAGTCCTACTGCTACTCCAGAGATTTGCCCTGGGTACAAGCTAAAGATCATATGTAGAAAACAACAACAACAACAACAAACTGTGTCTTTCTTTGGTGACCAGTATCTGAAGACTTCATCCCCACAAGAAACATTACAGAGCAGAGGCACCTGGCGGCTTGCACACCCTACCTAAAGAGCCTTGGAATTGGCGAGCGCATCTCAGGATTCTTTTGATTGCTAAATGACTACACTTGAGTGAGCTCTTCCTAAAGCCTGTGCTGCACTGACACTCCCAACTGGCTCCTCCCCACCAGGTTCACAGCTCTCAAGGTTTACAAAATCAGGTGTCCCTGCGTGTGTGTTAGTTTATGCCACGCCGACTGTCCTCACGCTCAACACCTCAGGGGTTCAACTCAGAAACACTAAGTTTTTATTCTGTGCATATTATCTTCCGAGTCACGAGACAGATGTCTGATGGGCTGAAAATAAGACACCATAGGGACGTGACTCGTAGAAAGCCATGGCAGTGACAGCCACACCGAGACTTAACTCTCGGGGAGTCCTAGTCAGGTGAGCTGCAGTCGAAAGTGCCTGAGGCAGGAACCAGGGTAAGCAGGGTAGCAGGGGCAGAGAAACCAGCCCCAAATGGCAGTTAGCCTCAGATGTTTAACTACCCACAACTGTGAATCCACGGTTAAGGGTCTTCATGCTATAAACGGGTCACACAGAAACCCCCAGGATGGCTACCTTTAGCCTGGGCCTGCTTCTTTAGCCACATGTCTTTGAGCAGCTTCATGTACTGGAAGGTGGTGGAGGAGGACTCCGAAATGGACTGTATGTTGCCTTTTAACTCGGCGACGCTGGCCTTGATTGGCCTTTCCTGGTTGACCAAGGTCTGCTGCAATTGGCACCCTGTAGGACACAGCACTCCCTGCAAATGAAGAAAGCAGCCGGCGTCAGAGTGATGGATATTTGTTTAAAACATACACTAGGGAAACCTTCGGGATCTCACTAGTCAATTAAATTTGATATTCCGTTTTCTTTATGGAAGACCAGAAACCTTAGAATTATCAGCATACTCTTAAAAAAGAAAAGAAATAGTCCTTGCCATAGGGAAAAAAAATGTAATCGGGCTATGAAAAATTTTACCCAACCCAGTGAAGAAAGTAGGCAAAATACAAAAGAAAAGGCAATGTCCAAATTGTGTCCAGACCCAAAAGTCCAATAAAAGAAGGGTGAGTAAAAAAAATAAAAGATTCAAAGAAGTTCATATTTTGAATTTTAATTCTTAAAAGAGCAAAATAGCAGTAATAGAGATGTTGGTGCATGAAATGTTAAGCTTTCTCTACACAGGAGACCCACGCAGTAAAAACCACTAATGCCCCTACCAGGTCTTGGTCGGCGTGAAGACAGCCTCCTGCATCAGGGGCTTTTCGTTCCGCTTTCTTCTGGCTGGCAGCAGTTTTGACTGGACGGGCTCGATAACCACCTCCACTGATAGGAGGCGGGGCGGGTCTCAGGCTAGGAGCCTCTTCCTTTCTCCTATCAAAGGGTCGGTGACCACGGGCATCCAAGAGTCCCTACAGAAACCAGGCAGGAACACAGCGCAAGGTTAGAGAAGCTGTGAGACCTAACTAGTCCATCCTCTTGCTTCAGCTGAGGTAGCACCAGCCTGACAATGACTGGCTACAGGTTTCTCCGCTGGCTGCCGCAGAGTCTCTCTCTCTCTCTCTCTCTCTCTCTCTCTCTCTCTCTCTCTCTCTCTCTCTCTCTCTCTCTCTCTNGTCTCTCTCTCTGTCTGTCTCTGTCTGTCTCTGTCTCTGTCTCTGTCTCTGTCTCTGTCTCTGTCTCTCTCTCTCTCTCTCTCTCTCTCTCTCTCTCTCTGAGACAGGGTTTTTCTGTAGCCTTGGAGCCTGCCCTGGAACTAGCTATTGTACACCAGGTTGGCCTCAAACTCACAGAGATCCACCAGCCTCTGCCTCCCGAGTGCTTCAAGTGGAGGATCAGCAGCAAGCAATGCTAAAGCTAAGGCCTAGTGGCTGGGTGGGGCTAAGACAAATCTAA